AGTTCCTAGGTACTTCCCAGGCACTTCACGTGCAGTTCAGGAGGCAGGAGGTAGTCTTCAGGATTCGGCAGCAGCACTCTGGAGGAGCGCTGCAGGAGTAGTAGTAGCGGTAGCAGTAGTCTTCAGCGCTGGGCGCTAGTAGCGTTAGCAGTAGTCTTCAGTGCTGGGCGCTATTAGGAGCTAGAGTAGTACTAGAGGGAGAGAGATTGGGCGGAGGCCAGGGAGACTTACCGCAGCGCCATAGTTCCAGCTTCGTCTTCGAGGTACCTGCAGCACGGCGCCATCTTCACAGGTTGGTACCTGGCACATGAGAGAGAGAGAGTTTTTCGTCTTCCTCTTCTCAGTCCACCATCTCCCTCTCACCCTCTCATTACCTGACTTCACTGCATCAGCAGACTATGAGAGAGCGGGCTTGGTGACATTTGGATCCAGACTCGACATTGGGCTTCAGACATTTGACGAGGGATTATCTGGGACTTGTAAAAAGACTTGGTGTTGACGACATTCCCATCTTCCCCTTTCTTCTTCGTCTGCTAACCTCCTCTTCGTCTGTGTATGGACTGGACCGGGCGCATTCTTCCTGTGTAGCGCCAGGCCCCTTCACACCTTGTGATGAGGATGATGTATGTTTGGTCTGTACTGCGACATTGATTGGGCTAGTCATTGGTATTCTAGCATTCTGCTGTGCTGTCTTGCACTACGTGACAGAGGTCAGTCCGGGTCAGGTTAGGACTTGTATCTAAGTCTTCCACTGCGCTAGAAAGCACCATTTTTGTATGTATCAGGATGTACACTACTTATTGAGATTTCACTTGCACTGCATTGTCCATTCAGTCCTTTTCATCACATTGTGGATCCTCAAGTATACATGTACATCGCCCAACTGGGCATGTGACAGTTGGTATCGGAACACCGCACGTGAATCAGGACAACCTGATCTGACGCATGTGCGGGGACTAAGTAGCTGATTAGTCTTGAGTGATTGATTAGAGCACACTAGTTAGCCCCCAAAATCACGATTTTGACCTCACTGCCGAAAATCGAAAATTTTTTCTTTTCTTGGATTTTGTTTTCCCGCTATTTCTGTTGTGGAAAATCGCAATAGTGCAACACCTGAAATTTAAGTTTTCGTTTTTCTTCTGAAAATTCGAAATTTCGTTGTTGGAAATCCGGAATATCTGTTTTTGAAAATTTCGATTTCCTTTTGCAGATTCCCGTTATTGGAAATCCGGAATATCTGTTTTTGAAAATTTCGATTTCCTTTTGCAGATTCCCGTTATTGGAAATCCGGAATATTTTTTTTTCTGTCATTTCTGAAATTCGTTTTTCGAGATTTGAAAACGGTACGGGAAATCCCTCTTGCAGTTACCAGTTTCCAAACTGCGCATACTCTCATCTGAGTAATTCCGAATATTTTTATATGATTTTATTTTCGGACTTCTCTTATCGGATCATCATTGGCAGTCTGAAAGTTTGAAATTTTCCTCATTCGTAATTTCGCACTTCAGGGGGAATTGGGAGGCCTACTGACCTTGCAAACGAGTATTTTTTTTTCTTTTTCTCGAAATTTTTGGAAAGTTCAAACTTTTCTTCTTTTTGATTAGTGGCTCCTTATCTGGGCGATTTATCCCACCCACCCCTCCCCACCTACGTTGTTGCCCCCTCTGGTCTTATCTTCTCTATCGGTCTCCAGGTACCCCCTGCGGCGGCATTGGTAAGTTGCCATGTCAGCAGACCACGTCAGCAGGCCACATCAGCAGACCACGTCAGCAGGCCACATCAGCAGACCACGTCAGCAGGCCACGTCAGCAGCAGGGAGTGCCACGTCAGCAGGTCCCCGGCCTGGTCTATGCTCACGCGCTCACAAACAGCCGTCATGCACCAGAAATCAGGGGAAACGGACGAGGCCTATCAGGCCCGGATGCTGCTTCTGATTACCGAAGCCAAGCAACGGTCGGATGCAGTAGCAGCCGCAGCAAAGAGGAAGGCAGAGGACGCCGAGAAGGCACGTCTGTTGGTAATTGAACAGCAGCGCCAGCAAGACGAGGCAGCAGCAAAGGCTGCCGATGAAGAACGGATTCAACGACGCGAGAAGATATGCAGCGGAGAGCGAGCTTTGCTCACAATGGCAGCGGACTGGCGGGCCGAGGCCGAGAATGGTAAGATGAAAGAGAGTGAAAACAAGATTGCTCTACTCCTCTCCGATCTCACGGATCTCCTGGCAACATGCATTACACATCAGGAGGACATCGACAGCCTCGACGACGCGTTGTCTCAAGTCCACAGCCGCCTCCACCAGCTGGAGCAGCGACCCGTCGCCGCCCTCGATGCCAGGTCTTCCAACACCTCCGATCGCCTCGAGGCATTGGAGATTGACGTCGGATCCCTCAAGGATGGTGTGCAGTTACAGCAAACCTCATCACAACAGTTGGAGCATAGGATTTGTACTCCCGCCAACCACTCGAGCTTGGAACCACGAAGACAACTCCAAAGTTCGATGGGCAGGAGATCTTCCGTGACTCGACGAAGACGGACCCGATTCCATGGTTCCGCAAGCTCGAGCTCAAGTTGCAGCTCCACCACGTCAGCAAACACAAGCATCACGCGTACTTCTACTCCCGGTCGGGGGGCGCGTGCCAAGCATGGTTGGACAATCTCTTGTCCAAGTAGGGAGTGGTGGCTGCCAACTTGCAAACCAACATCAGTTGGGATGATCTAAAGGTGGAGTGGCATAAGCGGCTCCAAGTAGAGCCGCCGGAGATCAAGGCAATGGACAAGCGGATGACCTTCGAACAAGGCACGCTGCCGACTGTTGATTGGATTGCCGAGTACCAACGCTTGACATCCGTCCCGGACATTCAAATGGGTTTCAAGGTCGTCAAACACTACACATCTCGAGCTCATGTCCCGCGTTGGGCAATGCCTTGACTCACGTCGAGGACACCCTGACGACAACGGCGGAGCTCTTCGACAAGGCCGCACAAATTATTATCATGAACAAGGAGGCGAAGAACCTCCACCATTCGTCTCCGACAGGCCCGAGGTAGAGATCAGCATCAGCCGAAAGTGGTCGTGGTCGAGGCGACAATGCCAAACGACCAATCTAGCGAGGCCGTGGCTGCCAATGAAGGGGACAGACTTGCGGCCGCCAAGGATGGTGGCCACCTCGGCAAAGGCCGAGGACGCGGCAAGGCAAAGACAAACACCACATCTAGCCCCGGGCTCGGCGCAGCAGCTCCAGCCCCATGGTCCCACTACGGTCTCTCTGAAACGGCGTACAAGGCACACACGAGATTCCGCTATTGTCTGTGGTGTAACAGCGATCTCCACTACACAATGGGCTGCCCGTCGAAAGGCAAAGGCAAATCGGGAAACTGAGCACCGGCGGGAGTGACTCGACGACACTCTCGACGCCTTCGGAACCGGTTGCTTCTTGGGTGACCGCCCTTCGTTCTGACGCACACGTCAAAGTCGATAGTCCTGCTCTTCTATTTTTTTATGTGGACTATGCTGCCCGGCTCGTTCCTACGCTGGGTACTCATGCTCAAGGACAAGACGTGTGTGCAACATCTTCTCCGTCCGGCAGCGGTGACTTATCGTCTTCAAGTGGTTCTTCACGGGATTCGGCGCACGAGTTCAACATAGAGGTATTGAACCCGCTCACGTCCGAGGATTTCGCATGGCTCCCTCTCCCGCCCACGGACCGCTTGCTGGGATTGCAATGCGCAGCATTATGCGCTCATCTTCACACGTACTTATCCTTCTATGCACCACCAACTTCGTTGACGGATGACGAAGTCACGGTGGGGGACATCCTTGCGTATGTTACCATGGTGGCCCGCGAGTTTCGCAAGCAGCGGTACAATGACAACAACGCACCGCTCCTCTATATTTGCATCTAAGTTGGGCAAGCGTCCTGCAACGCTTTGCTGGATAGCGGCATGTCCCGCAAGCCGTTATGCAAAGGGTTGGCCTTGGCACACAAGTTCGAAGGAAGCCAAACCCGACGGCGCCATAAGGACGCAGCAAATTATCGACCGCTACATCGAGGCCATACCGGTCTATTTCGCACGTCATGCATGCGAACCGGTGACGTTCGACATTTTGGACACAGACTTCGACATTATTTTGGGAATGCCTTGGCTTGCAAGTGCGGATCACACGGTCAACTTCCACCAGCGGACTCTTACCGTTCGCGACGCGCCGAAGTACCGTGTACTATTCCTCTTCCGCACCGTTCGATCCGATGCCAACTGGTGATGGCCAAGTCATTCCGGGCTACTTGTGCTTACGAGCAGCCCGACGAATCGGCCTATGTTTCCTACAGACTGTCGCGGTAGCCGACTCTTCACCCACGGATTTGTCTTCGGACCCCCGTGTGGTGCGGTTGCTTGACGAGTTCGCCGATATCTTCGAGTCACCTACCGGTGTGGTACCGGATCGGCCGATCTCTCACGAGATCATTCTGGAGGCCGGTGCTGTGCCGCCGAAAGGTTGCATTAATCGCATGAGCGAGGAGGAGTTTACGGTCCTCCGTGCGCAACTCGATGACTTGTTGGACAGCTGGATCCGCCCTAGTAGCTCCCCATATGGAGCACCAATTCTCTTCGTAAGGAAGAAGAACAAAGATCTACAATTGTGCATCGACTACCGCAAGCTCAACGTGCAAACCGTCAAGAATGTGGGGCCTCTTCCTACTATCGACGATCTTCTTGAGCGATTGGGCGGCGCAAAGTACTTCTCTAAGTTGGATTTGAAGTCAGGATACCATCAGATTTCGATTCGGCCGAACGATCGCTATAAATTCGCGTTCAAGACGCGGTATGGGCATTTTGAGTGGGTGGTCATGCCTTTTGGCCTCACGAACGCCCCGGTGACCTTTCAATCGGCAATGACCAACGAGTTTCGTGCGATGTTGGACCAGTTCGTGTTAGTCTGCTTAGACGACATCTTGAGCACCTTCGACGAGTGTTGGAGACGCTCTGCCGCGCCAAGTACAAAGCCAACCGCGACAAGTGCGAATTTGTCCGGGAAGAGCTGGAATACTTGGGCCATTTTGTCACACCGGAGGGCATTAGTCCGCTATCGGACAAGATTCAAGCCATCCAAGACTGGTCGGAGCCGCGGAACGTCACGGATGCCCGTTCACTCCTTGGCCTTGCCGGCTACTACGAACGTTTTATCAAGGGATACTTGAAGATCGCGGCCCACTTGACCAAGCTTCAATACGAGGATCGGTCGTTTGACTTCGAGAGGATGTGCGGGAATCATTTTTGGCTCTCAAAGCCGCGCTATTATCTGCGGAGGTCTTGCGCATATATGACCAGCTCTTGCCAACGCGCGTCACTACAGATGCGTCTGGCTATGGCATTGGTGTCGTCCTCGAGCAACACGATGGCGTGGACTGGCACCCAGTCGAATACTTCAGCAAGAAAGTGCCCGTCGTGCACTCCATTGATGATGCACGCAAGAAGGAGCTCCTAGCCTTCGTCCACTCGCTCAAGCAGTGGCGGCACGTCCTCCTTGGTCGAAGTAAATTCCGATGGGTAACGGACAACAATCCGTTGGTCTTTTACAAGACCCAAGACACCGTCAACAGCACCATCGCCCGATGGATGGCTTTCATCGACCAATTTGACTTCTTTCCTGATCACATTCCGGGGAAGTCTAACCGTTTTTCGGATGCTCTTTCACGGCGTCCGGATCATTGTACCGCGGTTTATTCGACCTTCGAGATCGACGACGAACTGTGGGACAGTTTCATCTGCTGCTACCAAGCCGACCCTGAGTTCCGCGACAAGTACGAGAATTGCTCCTCTCCTAATCCGACGCCTTCTCACTACCGGATCCAAGAGGGGTACTTGCTTGTCCACACACGAGGGAAGGACCTTCTTTGCGTACCGAGTGACTCTCACTTGTGTGCACGGCTTCTTGGCGAGTTTCACGAATCTCCCGACTGAACACTTTGGAGTCAATCGCACGATTGGCCGACTTCGCAAGCGATTTTAGTGGCCCTGCCTTCTCGGTGACGTCACACGCTATTGCGAGTCATGCAAGGTTTATTGACGCTGCAAATCCCGCAACCATCGTCTGTACGGTGAGCTGCGACCATTATCGGTCCCCTTGCACCGAAGGGAAGCGATTGCCATGGACATTACCGGGTCTTTCCCCAAGCACAAGGCCGTTGTGGATGGGATTCTCACGGTGGTCGACCGACTCGCCAAGTTCGCCATGTTTTTGCCTTGCCGCTATCATGCCAAGGCACCGGAGTTGGCCGAGGTTCTTTACGCCGGTTGGATTCGAACCAAGGGTTACCCCAAGGAAATCGTCTGCGACCGCGACACTCGGTTCATATCTGATTTTTGGTTGGCACTCATCAAACGATGGGGCTCATCTCTCAAGCCAAGTTTGGCTCGCCACCCTGAAACCGATGGCCAAACGGAGAGGGCGCGCCAGACCGCACAGGTTCTCCTTCGCACTCTCATTCGTCCCGACCAAAGGTATTGGGTGGAGCGGTTGCTGGATGTCGAGTTGGCATACAACTCGTCCATCCACCCGACGATCGGGATGTCGCCCTTCGAGTTTGAGCACGCCTCGCCGGTCACTTCTCTGTTGGACATAATCATTCCACGAACGGCCGAGAGCGACGACCATCTTCTCTTCTTACGTCGGATGCAAGAGCTACTTCTCAAGGCACGCGACCAGATGGCTAAGACGCAGCAACGCATGAACCAACAGGCCAACCGCCAGCGTCTTCCTTGCCCATTCCACGCCGGCGATCTCGTTTGGGTTTCCGCCGCGGAGTTCAGCCTTGAACAAGATCTCTCTCGCAAGCTCCTCCCGAAATGGATGGGGCCCTGGCCGATCATGACATCCGTTGGGGATGCACCCGAAGGACCTTCACCGTTCAGGTACCCGCCCACTTGCCCGTCTACCCGGTCTTTCATTACTCCAAGTTGGCTCTTTACACGCCAGCTGATGATGACGATTTTCCGGGGCGACGATCGCAAGACCCACCCTCTATGGACGATTTTTAAGAGGTCGGCGACATCATCTCCTAGCGACGATACGGCAACAGGCCAACTGAGTACTTGGTACACTTTGCGTACTGCACTCACAAAGTTGACCGTTGGTTGACCCGTGCGGAACTCCAAGCAACAACTCTAGATGTTCTCGCACGCTACGAACGCAAGATGCAAGGCAAGCCGGTATCTTCGGCTCCACGTCACACCCGCGTCCAGGTTCCACCTTCAGATCGTCAGCTTCGCCCTCGACCCGGCTTAACTTCATAAGGAAGGGGGGGTGTTACATGCTGCGCCTGCAACAGGCTGCACGGGCCATTTTCAGGCCCGTGTCGTTTTCAGCCCGGAAGCCTGAAAACAAGGGCCTACATGCCCTGTGTCGTTTCAGCGTAAATCCGGGCCTTTCCGGCCCTGAGTCTTTTCAGCCTGAAACTGAAGGCCATTTTCAGGCCCTCATAAGATCGACCTGCCCTGAAACTCAGGCACCAAACCAAGGTTTTAGCACAGGCCATTTTGGGCCTGTTTTCAAGACAACCCTTGGTGTAGCTTCAACGAACGGGTCTGGCACGTTTTGGCATTGGCAAGGGCAGCCTCCTGGACGGGCCAGCACTATATAGGACTGGCCCGCCCTGCAGGCTGCAAGTAGTTCCTAGGTACTTCCCAGGCACTTCACGTGCAGTTCAGGAGGCAGGAGGTAGTCTTCAGGATTCGGCAGCAGCACTCTGGAGGAGCGCTGCAGNAGTTCCTAGGTACTTCCCAGGCACTTCACGTGCAGTTCAGGAGGCAGGAGGTAGTCTTCAGGATTCGGCAGCAGCACTCTGGAGGAGCGCTGCAGTAGTAGTAGTAGCGCTAGCAGTAGTCTTCAGCGCTGGGCGCGTGTAGCGTTAGCAGTAGTCTTCAGTGTTGGGTGCTATTAGGAGCTGGAGTAGTACTAAAGAGAGAGAGATTGGGCGGAGGCCAGGGAGACTTACCGCAGCGCCATAGCTCCAGCTTCGCCTTCGAGGTACCTGCAGCACGACGCCATCTTCCCAGGTTAGTACCTGGCACATGAGAGAGAGAGAGAGAGTTCCTCTTCTCAGTCCCCCATCTCCTTCTCACCCTCTCGTTACGTGACTTCACTGCATCAGCAGACTATGAGAGAGCGGGCTTGGTGACATTTGGATCCAGACTCGACATTGGGCTTCAGACATTCGACAAGGGATTATCTAGGACTTGTAACGAAGACATGGTGTTGACGACATTCCCATTTTCCCCCTTCTTCTTCGTCTGCTCCCCTCCTCTTCGTCTGTGTATGGACTGGACCCGGCACATTCTTCCTGTGTGTAGCGCCAGACCCTTTCACACCTTGTGATGAGGATGATGTATGTTTGGTCTGTATTGCGACATTGATTTGGCTAGTCATTGGTATTCTAGCATTCTGCTGCGCTGTCTTGCACTACGTGAGAGAGGTCAGTCCCGGTCAGGTCAGGACTTGTATCTAAGTCTTCCACTGCGCTATAAAGCACCATTTTTGTGTGTATCATGATGCACACTGCTTATTGAGATTTCACTTGCACTTCGTTGTCCATTCAGTCATTTTCATCACATTGCGGATCCTCGGTTATACATGTACATTGCCCAAGTGGGCATGCGACAAGAGGGAGAGAGTGAGAGCACACACACACACTCACTCACTCGACAAGACTGATGGACTCAACGGACGCAGACAAAGTTGCGGAGTCTCAAAGTCGAAGTCTTCAAATCTCGATGTCGGAGAGGTAAGTCACACAAAGCAAGCACAGTAGCTGAAAACTGGTTATTCGTACTGGGCTCGAGTCCGGTCTCAAGTACCGGACTCAAGTTCAGTCCCGAGGGTTGAAGTGCAATTTCCCTCGGGGCTGAACAGAAAATCGAAGGTCTAAGTCTGGGCGCCAGAATGCCGGATGGCGCCAAGTATCGAAATCCGAAAGTGCCAAAGGAGGAATTTGAGAACGGGCGCCAACTGCAGAGGGCGCCAATAGTCAGGTACCGGAGATCGGAAACTCAAAAATAAAATAGCAGCATGGCGGGTGGTAACCCGCGGACCAGGGACCCCTGGCTGAGTCCGTAACACTATCCCCTCCCTCTGGAAGGCAACGTCCCGGCTGCCAAAGACCTAATGAACAACTGTGAAGGACGAGACGGGGCCGATCACTGGTCAGAAAAGGAAAGGGGGAGTAATGGAAGTAACAAGGTAATCTTACTAATGTTCTTCAAGGGTGAAGGTATCAATGTTAAGGTAACAGAGTAGTTGAGGTTCTACAGGGTTGAAGTAACAGGTTACAGATCAATACTATTGATGTTCTACAAGGATGAGGGAATCAATGCTCAAGTAACAGGGTAATCCTATTGAGGTTCTACAAGGGTGAGGGTAGCAATGTTCAGGTAACAGGGTAATCCTATTGAGGTTCTACAAGGTTGAGGGTAGCAATGTTCAAGTAACAGCATGATCCTATTGAGGTTCTGCAAGTAACAGGGCAGTCCTATTGATGTTCTACAAAGTTATCTAGGTTGTCAGGTTTGGAAAAAATAAAAATAAAAATTGTTTGTTGAATGCTCAAGGGTTGTGGTGTCTGAGGGATCTGGGAAAACAAAGTCTCAAGTCTGAAACAAAGTGTCAAAATGCGAAAAATGTCTTGAGAAAGGTCTTCAGAGGTCTTGGTCAGATCCAGGATAGGTGAGAGAACCGGTATTCAGCAGCTGCAACAGGTAGTTGTCAATATCCAAGCTGCATGATAGCGAAGTAGGAGTACAAGTGTCCAAAGCCCAAGTGCTGGATTGTGTACGGTTCATGAACTGCAAGGAGGTCTGATCCGGTGGCAAGGAAATCGCAGACTGATGCAAAGGTCCAGATCACATGTCGCTGCTCCAGTAAGTCCGCAATTCCAGATGCCGGCCAAGGAAAGAGCATGGTGGCCAAACCAGCTGCATTATCTCCATCGTCCTCGTGCGCTTGTCATTAGATACTTTATCGTCGGCGTCACGCAGGTCCACAACCATTGGTCAAGAGAGACAGAGAGTGTGGTAGAGGACGGATGGGAAGGACTAGGCTGATGCAAGGAAGGATCAGACAATGAGAGATCAAGATCAAGGGGAGGGGTTAGTTGGGTTCAGGGGTGGTGTGTGTAGAGTAGGTATGTATAGGTCGAGGCATAGGCAAGTAGATAGCTATGAGACGGGGTGGGTACGATCATAGGCACGAACGAATTTCATGGTGTTCTTTAGATTTGCAAGGGGTTCCCATGTCGATTCTTCATCTGGGTATCCAGTCCATTTTACTTTGTATTATGTGATAGGCTCGGGGTGGTTGGATACTCGAGTTGTTCTACGACCGATGATTGATTCCACGAAGAATTCAGGACCAGTGGGAAGCATGATAGGTGCTGGACAAGGATGAGGGCGATCAGAGAACTGAGGAGGTGATTCATGGAATTCTTTCAAGTATTCCACATGGACGACATGGTGGACTCGATTCATGTTAGGAGGGAGTTGGAGCTTGTAGTTTACAACGGATGTTTTTTCAATGATGGGGAATAGACCGAGCCACTTGTTCGAGAGTTTCTTGGACAAGCCTTGTTCGGGATCAAAGCGTTTGACGGAGAGCCAGACTTTGTCCCCAACATGGAAAGTGACGTCACGACACTGTGTGTTCGTTTGTTTGGCTTGTTGTTCCTGAGTTCGTTGGATAGATTCAGTGGCTTCTCTTAGGAGGCGGTTCGTTGTTGCAACCCATTCACTGAGAGAGGGACAGGGAGTTGATGGGTTGAGCTGCGAGGGGAGCAAGAAGTCAAAGGGCAAGCGAGGATGGTAGCCAAGGTCGAGGTAGGAAGGAGACATGCCAGTGGAGGGGCAAACAATGTTGTTGTAGGTGATCTCGGGAGCGGAGAGGAGCTGGTCCGAGTCGTGCTGATGGGGATGACAATACTTTTGGAGGATGCGCTAGAGAGTATTGTTCATCTTCTCTGTCTGGCCATCAGTCTGAAGGTGGAAGGCGGTGTTGTACTTGAGGGTGGTCCTGTATTCCTTGAAGAGGTTTCTCTAGAACTGTGAGAGGAATTGGGAGTCGCGATCGCTGATGATGTTTTCGGGGAGACCGTGATGATGGGTGACGTGGTCAAAGAAGAGTTTGGCGACGTCATTGGCTTGGCAGGTGGTGGTGCAAGGGATGAAATGGGCACGTTTTGTAAGGCGGCAGACAACGACATAGATGCAATCGTGACCATGGTCGGTCGTGGGGAGACCACAGACGGAGTCCATGGAGACATATTGCCAGGTGGGTGGGTATGGGGAGAGATTGGAGTTTGCCAGCCTTGGCTTGGTTGGAGTGATTGACGACTTGGCAAGTAGGGCAAGAACGGATGTAGGCTTTAACGCCGGCAAGGAGCGAGGGCCAGTAGAGGTAACGAGAGATATTGTCAAAGGTTTTCGGGAAACCGAGGTGTCCGACAGTCTTGGCATCGTGGTGTTCAGCCAAAATCTGGGTAGAGAGACCATGGACAGAAGGGATGCAAAGGCGGCAAGTTCCTTTGGTGTTGATGTAGAGGAGATGGTCGATGAGGGAATAGTCAGGGACAGTGTCAAGGTGGCGGAGTTTGGTGTAGGTAGAGGCGAAGTCGGGGCAGGAGGCGTAACCATGGATGGAGCGATGTTGGAGAGATTGGGGAAGGTTGACATGCGTCATGGCAGCGAAGACTTTTTCATAGGGCTTGTGATCGGGTCGGCGAGAGAGGGCATCGACAACACGATTGGCCTTGGCGGGAGTATGGAAGATGGTGAAGGTAAAATGGGCGAGAAAGTCCAGCCAGCGGGCCGGACGAGGGGTAATATCCTTTTTGGTGAGGATACCGGAGACGACGGTGTTGTCGGTGCGAATGGTAAAGTACTGGCCATCGAGGTAAGGGCGCCAGACTTTAAAGGCATAGATGACGACAAGGAGTTCCTTCTCATTGGAGGGATAGTTCATCTCAGCGGCGATGAGCTTCTTACTCGCGAATGCGATAGGGCACTCGTCAGGAGGTGCTTCAGATCGCTTGGGGGAATCTTTGATAGTGTGGGGGTCGCGAGGGAAATGTTGGGATAGAACGGCGCCAAGGGCAAAGTTCGAAGCGTCGGTGGTCGCATAGAAGTGGCGAGAAGGGTTGACGATCTTGAGAAGAGGGGTGGTAGTGATGAGGTGTTTGAGTTTGTCGAAAACGGCTTGGCGGCGTTCGGTCCATGTGAAGGACTCGGTGGCGCGGGTGAGCACATGGAGTGGATAGGTGGTGTTGGAGAAGTTTTGGATGAAGGGGCGGTAGTAGTTAGCGAGTCTAATGAATGACCTAAGCTGGAGCAAGGTGGTGGGGGGTGGTAACTCGACGAGAGCGGCGACCTTCGAGGGGTCGATACCATCAACAGAGACAATGTAGCCAAGGTAGTTCTCGCTCGAGGCGGCAAAAGTGCATTTGCTAAGCTTAGCGTAGAACTTTTGCTCGCGGAGGATGGAAAGTACCTTCTCAATGTGTTGAAGGTGGGACTCGAAGGTGGGATTGAGGATAAGGATGTCGTTGTGGTAGACCACGCCACAGACTTCGAGGAAATCGCGGAAGATGTGGCTCATGGGGGACTAGAAGGTCGCTGGGGCATTTGTGAGGCTGAAAGACATCACTAGGAACTCGTAATGCCCGAAGCGAGAGCGGAAGGCGGTCTTATGGGTATCTTCCTCACGAATACGGATCTGGTGGAAGCCACTGCGGAGGTCAATCTTGGTGAAGTATTTGGCTCCGCGGAGGCAATCAAGAAGTTAAGATATCTGAGGGAGTGGATACTTATTCTTGATCGTAATCCGGTTCAAGGCGCGGTAGTTTGTGCACATGTGGAGCGCCGAGGTACTGCCATTTTTGTTGAAGTGGAAGCCGGTTCCGACGGGGGATGAGCTAGGCTTAATGAATCCTTTTTCAAGGAGTTCATTGAGGTGGCGCTTCATCTCCTCGGCCTCGGTTACAGAGACTTGGTATAGAGAGCGACAAGGAGGAGAATGGTCGGGTTCGAGGTCGATGGTGTGAGATACCCTGCGATCGGGTGGCAAGCCGACAGGCAAGGACTCGGGAAAGACGTCCTTGAATTTGGAGAGGAGAGAGGTGATGCGAGGGTCGGATGGGGGGGGCTTGGTCGGGTTTGTCCGTTGGAATCAAGTCCTCAGGACGCTTGCGGTCGATGACGAGGCAATAGTAGGTGGAGTCAGGGTGTTGGCGAGACATGTGGAGGAATTGGTGGGGGGAGACGGGGGGTGGGGTGGTAAGGGGAAGAATGTAAGGGATGTCAAGGGTAGAGTTTGGAGTAGAAGATGCGGACAAAAGAGGGATAGAAAGAGTAGGGCATGTAGCGATCAATCCAAATAGTTCCCAGGAAGACGTCGCACATAAGGTGCATGACGTCGAAGGAGATCTGACTGCGGAGGGAGCGGACAGTCATGGTGACCTCGGGAATTGTGCGATCGACAATGACGATTGAGTCCTTGTCCCCTAAACGAATGGCGATCGCGGAGTCATAGCCGGTTGAGGGGAGACCGGCTTTACGGACACAGGCGTCGGTAATGTTGTTGTTAGCCCCACCGTCGAGAAGGGCCCGAAACTCACTGTCGATGCATCGAGGGAGATGGATGTGAACTTGAGCTGGAACTGGGCGGTTCCGGCACAAGCGGTAGAGATCCAAGTTTCAAGAGCAGGTTGTTGATCAGATTCAGGCTCCTTGGAGGGGCCTGCAACTGACTGTTCAGCGTCCCTTGCTGTAGAGAGTGCTGACGACTCTTCTACGCCCTTTGCTTGTTTCCCTGCAGACGATAACAATCCTGCATAGCGTGCCCAAGCTTTTGACAATGCAAGCACACGCGCAGTTTAGATCTTCTCTCCCATTCCTTTTGACTAATGCGGAGGGCTTTCCAAGGCTTGGTGGAAGCATCCTCCGACTTCTCAGGAATCTTTGCGTTCTTGGGAAGGTGGGTTATGGTTCCCCTACCCGAGCCACGGTTAGGCCCCTTGCTTGAAGTAGTCCTTTTAAAGGCATTACATTTTTCTTCGGTATTCACATCAGACTCTAGGGCTAACGAAGAACAACCCACGTTAGAGTCCGGCTCTCGATCGTCATCTAGAGACAGATCATCCGCATAGGACTGATCGCCAGTCTCCTGATGCAGGGCACACTGGTGGCTGCTTCCGTACCGTGTGCGTCGTGAAGTTTTTCCTGCAGTTGGTGTCTTCGCACGCCTGGCGAGGTCTTTGGCTTCTAGGTTGACTAGATCCGTCAACAACTCACGCAAGATTTAATGCTCCTTGAGTCCTAGCCGGGAGATATAGTCTTCAGGGGCCACTCCCATTACTACATCCATGCAAGACAAGTCAGTCCATCCTAGGTTTGGAGTAGTGAATAGACCAGTCAAGTGCTGCTCCAAAGCCTGCATGAAGTCCTCCACTTTTAGCCTTTGAGGGCCTCAAGCTTTAGCCTTGCCTTAAGCACAGCATGCTTATCTTGATACTGTGCGACGTGGAGGTCCTCAAGAGTTCGTACAAGAGTTACTTTCAACCCCTCGGTCAGGTCAATTCTCTCATATCCTGCACCAACAACTTGGAGCTCTATGAAACTCCATAAGGCGGGTTCAGTATTTGTGCCCATGACCATACTTCGGTCTTCCTGCGACGTACGCAGTACCTCGAAGTATGAGCTCATGGAGCTGATCCAAGAGGTGATGTCCCCCTTCCTGTCGTACTTGGATGGCAGCGTGGCCGCCTCTTGTCCACCATGGGACCGTTGTACTGTACGCCAGTAAGGATTGTGGCGTTTTGGGTTGATGTTCCTGCATTTGGGACTGGGACCAGTGCAGAACTGTCGGCGCTGCAGCTCAAAGAGCTGGCACCGGTTCCTGCGTTCATCACAGTTCCACTTGATCTCAGCACAAGGACTGTGTTAGGGTGAGAGACTAAGACTGCAGCAGGACGTGGATTAGGAGGACGAGGGGCAGTCAGTTGAGCCTGTTTGACGCTGACGATCTCAGCCTGCACCTCTTGGTTCCGCTGCTTTAAAGCTGTCACACGGGACTCAAGATCTTCCAAGGTCCGCAGTTGAACCAAGGCCGCTACGACAGCGGCTATCTTCTCTTTGAACCGGGCATCACTAGACTCCAGAACCTCGAGGAGAGCCACTTGGGCAGCAATGCTTGTGGCTTTGGCTGCTGCTTCTGCCTCATTTTTCTCAGTGTATCACATCCTCATAAAGTTTATGAAAGAACGGTTTCTCGAAACCGTTCTTGGCCACTGCGTCCAGAATGGCCTGCCATTGCACGGATGAGATGTCTGTCATGCTGGAGGATGGGGTATCAGTAGATCTCTCAAGCGGGGTCCGCTCACGTTTGAACGAACGCTCCTCTTACCCCTCCTCACACTCTCAAAAAGAATACCTTCTCTCTCCCTTCTCTCTCCTTCCGTTTTCTGCACACTCGTCTCAATACTAGATATAGATAGTTCAGATAAACAAAAAACAAACAAATCACAAAGAGCAGAAGGTAGAACTCCTAGCCGGAGCGGCAATTCATTTGGATTTAGAGAATGACATTCACGCAGCAGAATAAAAAAATAAATAAAAACAAATGAAAGAGAGGACTGACTTAACGAACGGGTCTGATGAGATAAGCTAGAGATCCCCTCTTGTCTAACCTGACAAGGAACATGTACCACGAGGGGTGCAGACGGTCGCCAAGCCAGATGGTCGCCGAAGAAAACTAACTGCAGGAATGGAGATTTCGAGGGGTGCAGACGGTCGCCAAGCCAGACACGGGGCAGTGTGTGAGAAGATGCAGTAAGACCAGTCAAGATCCCCTTGAAAGGAATGTCCTTACAGCCGTGTGTCCCCCAAATTCAGCACAGCACGGAGATGCATTGACGGCAACATATTTGGGTCCTAAAGGTCCTGTCCCATTGCGCCTGGTCCCACTGAGCCCCGAAGGGTCCCAAGTAGGTCGCGGACCAGGACCAATGAGAGAGGTGTGCCAAGTCAGTCCCAAACTGCCTCTACCGTACTGAAAAGGAAAAGACGACTTTCAGCAAGAACCTGCTCCTACAGCCGTTCAGAATGAAAAGACAATGCACTGTAGAAAGATATGTCATTGAGAACAAGATACATCACCCATCCATCCATCAGGTGAGAAAGCAATCCACATGCTCACACACACAACCAAGACCGCAGAGAAGAGGAAGAGTGCCCAGCACACCCCAACAGGCCATGAAGCACCAAGCAACAACCCATAGGCATACCCAAGTCACACGGCACTTACCTGTGAGGCCCGGCCCCCAAAGATGGATGACGACTCACCCCCCTCTCTCATAGGTCCTCCTGACCCCTAGCTACCACTACATGAAGTGTCCTAGCATGACTAAGAGGGCCTCCCTACACCCCTGTTACAACGCCGGATCCTCCATCGATGTTGAAGACCAAAGTAGCAACTTTCAGCTCTTCGATGCAGATATGGCAGTCTCCGATCAAGTCTCCATCTTGAGGGTAAGCCCAAAAGTTACTCAATGGCTTCTTGAAGTCCAGATTCCAGGTGCGAGTACCTCTCACTCTCTACTCCCTCTCGCTTACTCCAATCAGCCTCCTTTGTGTCTCGCCACCCCATTCAATCACTCAAGCAACCTGGTCAGGTCTTATGTCGACGCTACATGACCTAACCAGGTGGGGCCAGCATCCACATACCTCACTGCCCCTCTTAACCCTAACCTCCAGCCCTAATCCGAGATTAGGTTAGCCCTAACCTAATTCGGAATTAGTGTTAGTTAGGGTGACTAACACCTCCCGCCACCAATTGTTATGATCCTGGTCATTCCCAAAGTGCAAATTCACAATGAAAGACAATGCCACCCAATTGCG